GTGGGCATTTGGTTCGGACTCTCCACCGTCGTTGCCCCTACGGAAATGCCTACACACCGCCCCACACACTGATCAGACAATCCCTTGAGAGCCCTCTGTTGCCATGAAATGTTTGGGGTCATGAGATATACCAGGGAAGTCCCAACACCACTGGAAACGCAGGAGAGTCAATTAAATACAACTGTATAGTCTCCTCATGACCCTTCTGCGTTTTCATCTTCAGTGGCGCTGTGACCTCCCTAATCAATCCTGACCCCAAAGGCCGGCTATCTAGGGCATGGATAGGGAAGGGCACATCGACTGGTAATATAGGGATCCCTAACTTATATGAGAAATGGCGATCGATAAAATTCCCAGCTGCGCCTGAATCGACTAGCGCCTTATGCTGGGAGTAAGAAGAAACTTCTGGAAACATCACTTGGATACACATATGAACAGCAGAGAGCTCTGGGTGAGTTGATATTAATTATTAATATGCCATTTAGCAGATATTAATATGCCATTTAGCAGACGCTTTTATCCAAAGCGACTTACAGTCATGCGTGCATACATATTTTTTTGTGTATGGGTGGTCCCGGGGATCGAACCCACTACCTTAGCGTTACAAGCGCCGTGCTCTACCAGCTGAGCTACAGAGGACCACATTGTTGGGACCTTACATTTTACATTTACATTTTAGTCATTTAGCAGACGCTCTTATCCAGAGCGACTTACAGTTAGTGAGTGCATACATATTTTTATTTATTTTTCATACTGGCCCCCCGCGGGAATCGAACCCACAACCCTGGCGTTGCAAACGCCATGCTCTACCAACATCCCTGCCGGCCATTCCCTCCCCTACCCTGGACGACGCTGGGCCAATTGTGCGCCGCCCCATGGGTCTCCCGGTCACGGCCGGCTACGACAGAGCCTGGATTCGAACCAGGATCTCTAGTGGCACAGCTAGCACTGTGCCAGGAATGACTCATCAGTGCGCTGCCTGCTGCCTCGAATCCGAGGAGACCCTCCCCAGTACTGAACCGCCGTGTGTCCTCGGCGGCCACAGTTGGTGCAGGGGACAGCCTCCTTCCTGGCCTCCCTACTACCAGCACCCCCGAGCTCCATAGGGTTCGGCTCGGAGGTGCTGGGGGATGGAATGGACGGCCCCAGCGCTGGACGTCCGTGGGTAGCCAACAGGGTATCCAAGCGAATCGACATGTCCACCAGCTGATCGAAGCTTAGGTTGGTGTCCCTGCAGGCCAGCTCTCGACGAACGTCCTCCCTCAGGCTGCATCTGTAGTGGTCGATGAGGGCCCTCTCATTCCATCCCGAATTGGCAGCCAGAGTCCGGAAGTCCAGTGCGAATTCCTGCGCGCTCCTCCTCCCCTGTCTGAGGTGGAATAGACGCTCACCTGCCGCTCACCCGCCGCCTCGAGTGATCCAGTCGGTGCCGTCGCTCCTGCTGACTCCATGGTAAGGTGTGTGATTCTGTCACGACTGTCTGTGAGATGCGGTAAACGAAGTCAGGCGCAGGACACAGAACTCTCGGACACGTACTTTTAATACGAAAAGGATCCAAAAGGACACAAAAATAACTCCATAACCCGCTCACAAATAGACAACCGTGAAGGGGAAAACAATCACACACAAAGTACAGATGAGAGACAGGGGTAATTATAAGGGAAACAATTAACATAATGACGAACAGGTGTAAACAATACAGACAAAACTAAACAAACACCGATAACGTCGAACGGCAGTAGCTAGTACTCCGGGGACGACGAACGCCGAAGCCTGCCCGAGCAAGGAGGAGGAGCAGCCTCGGCAGAATCCGTGACAATAGCATATCATCACAGCAGTTACTTGTATGTTAGCTAACTACCTAACGTTAGTTGGCTACTAATACATCAAACTTGCCAGTATATTAACTATATGCTATCTAACTAACTACCCAACATGTATTGACTTGATTATTCACGTCATTCTTAGGTTAGCTAAGTGGTATAGTCGTTGTGCATTCTCAGTGGACATTGTTAATGAAATCGTAAGATGTCTAGCTAGTAATTTGTTATGCTAACAAGCTAGCAAGAAGTTGCATAGCAACAGCATCAACTTCCGGTAGAGAGACGAAGCGCTAGTACACTCAACTGAAAGGATACTGTTCGTTTACAGGATACTAAAATGAACTAATAGTAGATAGTATGTAGTATATACTCATTAAGTATGTAGTATACAGTATGTTAGTATGGGTATTCGAACACAGCAAATGACAAAATTGACAAAACTCGTAAATGGAATGAAATAAACCAAAACTTGTTTCTCACAAATGTAGCATAGGTTGTGCGCTCTGCAAACAGCGTGTCCACTCCAACAATGAGAACGGTAAAAGACTGGATTAATAATATGTTGAATGCATTAACAGAAATTACGGTAACCAAACAAACATTGTAGATTCTAAATTATAGGAATTAACGGTAAATGTACTACTGGTGATATAAAATGCAAACAGTTCACACAATGAAGATATAAAATAGTGAATGTGCACAAATTGGTGGGAGAGAGCGCATTCTGGAGAGAGACATGCATTGTGCATCTTAGCCACATTCCCCTTCTTCCTGGACTGTGCCATCCCCGCGACCTCCGCAATGGATTAGCCTCGGCCTCTGAAATGGATTAGTTCACTGAGATGGGCGCGAATAAGACAAGTGTCTCGTGTGGCATAATATATATATATACAGTGCCTTCGGAAAGTATTGAGACCCCTTGACCTTTTCCAAATGTTGTTATGTTACAGCCTTATTCTAAAATCGATTAAATAAAACATTTTCCTCATCAATCTACACACAATACCCCATAATGACAAAGCGAAAACAGGTTTTTAGAAATGTTAGCAAATGTATTACAAATATAAAACAGATATACCTTATTTACATAAGTATTCAGACCCTTTGCTATGAGACTCGAAATTGAGCTCAGCTGCATCCTGTTTCCATTGATCATCCTTGAGATGTTTCTACAACTTCATTGGAGTCCACCTGTGGTAAATTCAGTTGATTGGACATGATTTGGAAAGGCACACTCCTGTCTATATAAGGTCCCACAGTTGACAGTGCATGTCAGAGCAAAAACCAAGCCATGAGTTTGAAGGAATTGTGTCGAGGTACATATCTGGGGAAGGGTACCCAACACAGTGCCATCATTCTTAAATGGAAGAAGTTTTGAACCACCAAGACTCTTCCTAGAGCTGGCCGCACGGCCAAACTGAGCAATCAGGGGAGAAGTGCATTGGTCACGGAGGTGGCAAAGGACCCGATTGTCACTCTGACAGAGCTCTAGAGTTCCCCTGTAGAGATGGGAGAACCTTCCAGAAGGACAACCATCTCTGCAGCACTCCACCAATCAGGCCTTTATGGTAGAGTGGCCAGATGGAAGCCACTCCTCAGTATAAAGGCAATGACAGCCCACTTGGAGTTTTCCAAAAGGCACCTAAAGAGTCTCAGACCATGAGAAACAATATTATCTGGTCTGATGAAACCAAGATTGAACTCTTTGGCCATCTCTGCAGCACTCCACCAATCAGGCCTTTATGGTAGAGTGGCCAGACGGAAGCCACTCCTCAGTAAAAAGGCAATGACAGCCCACTTGGAGTTTTCCAAAAGGCACCTAAAGACTCTCAGACCATGAGAAACAATATTCTCTGGACTGATGAAACCAAGATTGAACTCTTTGGCCTGAGGACACCTTGCACCATCCCTACAGTGACGCATGGTGGTGGCAGCATTGTGCTGTGGGAATGTTTTTCAGCAGCAGGTACTGGAAGACTAATCAGGATCGAGGCAAAGATCAACGTAGCAAAGTACAGCGAGATCTTTGATGAAAACCTGCTCCAGAGCGCTCAGGACCTCAGACTTGGGGCGAAGGTTCACCTTCCAACAGGACAATGACCCTAAGCACACAGCCAAGACAAGCAGGAGTGGCTTCGGGACAAGTCTCTGAATGTCTTTGAATGGCCCAGCCAGAGCCCGGACTTGAACCCAATCGAACATCTCTGGAGAGACCTGAAAATAGTTTTGCAGCAACGCTCCCCATCCAACCTAACAGAGCTTGAAAGGATCTGCAGAGAAGAATGGGAGAAACTCCCCAAATACAGGTGTGCCATGCTTGCTGCATCATACCCAAGAAGACTCAAGGCTATGTAATCGCTGCCAAATTTGCTTCAACAAAGTATTGAGTAAAAGGTCTGAATGCTTTCGTAAATGTAATATTTCCGTTTTTTATTTTCTATAAATTAGCAACATTTTCTAAAAACCTGTTTTTGCTTTGTCATTATGGGGTATTGTGTGTAGATTGATGAGGGGAAAAAACTATTTAATCAATTTTAGAATAAGGCTGTAACGTATCAAAATGTGGAAAAAGTGAACAGGTCTGAATACTTTCCAAAGGCACTGTATATGCTACTGTTCGACTAAAATAAATCAAACAATCGACCAGTCAACTAATTGGGGTCAGCCCTAATTTGCTTTTGTGTTCAACACAGTGAATGATTTGGTTATCTAGTTTGTGCTGTTGTCTAGTTCTGTCCATTTTCAAATGATCTTAATAATTAATGTATTTCTTCCATCAAGGCTTTTTCTTCAAGTCCTCTTTAATGTATCAGTCTTCTGTGGATCGTCTGAATGGGTTTTATGGTCTTGGGTTTTCTGCTTGTTCTTCGTGGTCTAGGGCTGGTGACTGTAGAGTAGTGTTTCCCAACCCTGGTCCTTGAGTACCCCGAACAGTACACATTTTTATTGTAACCCTGGTCAAGCACACCTGATTCAACTTGTCAACTAATCATCAAGCCCTCAATGAGCTGAATGAGGTGTGTTTGTCCGGGGCTACAACAAAAATGTGTACTGTTGGGGGTACTGGAGGACCAGGGTTGGGAAACACTGCTGTAGAGCACTTTGTTGATGTAAAAATATATTTATACATTCATTTTCTTGATTGATTGAATGTTTTTAGAATCCTGTTCTGGACAGACTGGGACGCTACCTTCCCCCGTATCGAGGCTGCTTCAATGAGCGGAGGAGGACGACACATAGTGTTCAAGGACATGGAGATAGGAGCCTGGCCCAACGGACTAACTCTGGATCATCTGGAGAAGAGAATCGTCTGGACTGATGCTCGGTAGTTCACTCACACATTATAATATTTTATGTAACCTTTATTAACTTATAAACTTTACAAGTCAATTAAGAACAGATTCTTATTTACATTGACAACCTATCAGGATAGGAGCACAGCAGTGATTAACATTAAGCTGCAATGATGCCTATTTGGATACACATATGGTATAAGTATGAACAGCATGTTATCTTCTTTGCCTCATCTCCAATAGGGACAGGTTGGTTGATTGTAAATGGTAGTTCAGTTACAGCGAACAGAAGGCCAATTTATCTAAATGTGCCGTAACCACAGAAAGACATGTTTATGATGAGAAAATATCACTTGTAAACCTCCCCTTCTATCGTCAGAATAAGCATTAAGATCTACATTCTACAGCATTCCCAAAAAATATTACTGACAAAAACACCTGATGACATCCTTGGTGAAACGCCTTCCTCACTATTTGGGAACTTCATTGAATTTTTATTTAAAAGTGTACAAAGTAAATAAGGATCTGCAATGTATGCTACCATGGCAACCTTACCTGGCTAGTCTTTTTAATCTATAGACATTCACCTTCCTTACTCTCTTTTGACATACAATACATTAAATCAAGAGTAAGTATACCAAGTGAATGAGCAGCTGCAATGTACTGTTCAGTACTCCAATGGCATAGCTAGTCTGTTTACTGTATATAGACCGGCAGCTTCATGATGACATCCATACCACAGTGTCTCTTTCCTCTAACAGCTCTGATGCCATCTATGCTGCAATGTATTGTACTTCCATGGTTACTCTACCTGCAGCTGCAGCTAGTGAGTGGAACGAGCTGCAAAAAACACTCAAACTGGACAGTTTTATCTCCATCTCTTCATTCAAAGACTCAATCATGGACACTCTTACTGACAGTTGTGGCTGATTCGCGTGATATATTGTTGTCTTTACCTTCAGGCCCTTTGTGCTGTTGTCTGTGCCCAATGTTTGTACCATGTTTTGTGCTGCTACCATGTTGTGCTGCTGCCATATTGTGTTGCTACCATGTTGTTGTCATGTTGTGTTGCTCCCATGCTATGTTGTTGTCTTAGGTCTCTCTTTATGTAGTGTTGTGGTGTCACTCTTGTTGTGATGCGTGTTTTGTCCTATATTTTTATTTTATTTGTTATTTGTAATCCTAGCCCCCGTCCCCGCTGGAGGCCTTTTGCCTTTTGGTAGGCCGTCATTGTAAATAAGAAATTGTTCTTAACTGACTTGCCTAGTTAAATAAAGGTTAAATAAAAACAACAAATAAAAATACTGCATCTCTTTCTCTATACAATCTCATGACATCCAGATAATGTCTTCTCCCTCTAACAGCTCAGATGCCATCTTATCTGAGCTGTATGTTATCTACCTGGCTAGTCTGTTTACTGTATGAAGGCAGTCTAACCTATCATGTCTCCGATGCCACTTACTCTGACTAGTCTGCTTACTGTATAGAGTCACCCTCACCTACTATATCATATCTTCATCCTCTCACAGCTCTGATGCCATCTACTCAGCGCTGTATGACGGCAGTGGGGTCATAGAGATCCTGAGGGGACATGAGTACCTGTCACACCCCTTCGCCGTGTCCCTGTTCGGGGGCAGTGTCTACTGGACAGACTGGAGGACTAACAGCCTGGCCAGGGCCAACAAGTGGACAGGCCGTAACGTCACAGTGATCCAGAAGACCAGCGCTCAGCCCTTTGACCTACAGATTTTCCACCCCAGCAGACAGCCACAAGGTAAACAGCCTAGACCTACACTGTTAGCCGTTTTTGTAATTTGATCAGTAACTTAATGTATTAATCAACAGTATGATACTGTGTAAACTGAATAAAGTAGATTACCGTAGAATGCACAGTAAAATACCGTACATTTGTTTTACAGCACACTGTAAGACCGTTCTGTAATTTCAACAGTAAAACACTGTAGAATGCACAGTAAAATACTGTATATGTGTTTTACAGTATTAATTATGGTGCATTGTGAGAAAATGTTGTGGGCGGGGAGAGTCTCTTGCTCATTTACATATTTTAAGCCGTGCCTTGTAAGAGGTTATATTTGTTGCACCCGTGAGTGAGAATGCTGTATCCACACAGAATGCAGTAATATACTGTATTTTAGGAATTCTATAAACTTTTTCCTGAAACTCTACAGTAGCTTACTGACCAATTGCAGCCAGCAATTTACTGTAATTCAGAATACAGTACCGTACCACATTTTTGGAGCGCCAAAACTCTTTTGAACACTAGTGGGTGCATGGTATTGTTGTTTCTCATTCATATTTTGAGGCGTGTCTTGTAAGAGGCTATATTTGTTTGTTTGCCAATTTAAGTTATATGTGGTAGTGGTTCTCTAACAATTACATTTATGTAGGGTACAGATCAGTGGCAGCACGTCTTAAACCTTTAATGATTGAGTGACTAGCCATGTCCTTCGATCTGTTTTGTCCTGTAGTTCCTGTCAGTTTACAAGCCTTTGTTACGGCCTAAAGCACAGATGATATAAAATTCCAAATATCTGTTGGTATGCTGTCATTTAATATTCATTATTAACAGTTGCTGATTTTATTTTCAATACAATTAAATAATAAAGGACTGTGTTGCTGTTTTGCTTTACAGTTTTTGTATATCATATTTTGGCTCTGTTATTTTTCCTGCAGCGTGAACAGCCAAAAGCCTCATGGAATTGGATATTTCAAGCCACATTTCAAACCACCTTCTTAGGGGGTTTGAAGTCAGATAAAATGTGATGCATGGCCATGCGACTTGTGTCTGAACAGTCAAATCTGATTTATTTGCCCTCATGGTTTTTAGACAGTTATTTAGCATATCTTGTTGCTTGCTAACTACTCTGTTGACAAGAACATGACATGGTAGCTAACTACATTTACATTTTAGTCATTTAACAGACGCTCTTATCCAGAGTGACTTACAGGAGCAATTAGGGTTAAGTGCCTTGCTCAAGGGCACATCGACTGATTTTTCACCTAGTCAGCTCGGGGATTAGAACCAGTGACCTTACGGTTACTGGCACAACACTCTTAACCACTAAGATACCTGCCACCCAACTAGCTTGTTAATTGTTTACAAACAAATTAGTGAATGTGATAGAAAGCTAAACAGCTAATTAGCTAGTTGACTGCTGTGGCAAGCCAAAAATGAATAGTTTTGAAAGTTGGATCATCTTATCCTTTGAGGCTTTAATTACACTATGATTTTGAACATTCACAGCAACTGGGAAATGTCCATGTCAGGCATAGTTGTCACCTTAGCATGCTACATAACGTCTGAGTAATAGGAAGCACGAGCACCACCACCAATCAGCCTACACCACTGCGCACACACCTGTTGTTACTATGACAACTAGCATAGCCATGTCAGCAAATGACTGCTGTCTGAACACACACAAATCCGATTTGGTCACTTGCTGTTTGGACAGTCAGTATTCCAAAACAGATTTGAAAAACAAAACTGATTTGAGCATTGAGGCCTACAGTGTGAACAAGGCTTTAATGGTTAAATATTTACCCATGTCCATTTGATCTGTTTTGGCCAGTTTGGATGCCTTTGTTTTTAGTGATTTGTTTGGGACTAAAAAGCAATGAAGATTCTCCATATAAAGTAGTTCTCTCACTTCCCTGTTGCATCCTGGAAACTGGTTGCATATAACTCTTAGCCAAATTCTGATAATAATATATATCAAATTTGGCCCATTATTTTCTAGTTGAACTGATGCTAGTCATAGTGCCTCTGTGTATTGACTAAGAAGCATTTATGAATAGGTGAATCCCCTGTTTTATTGAGACGAGAGTATAATGGTATTAATTTTAGCTGCTTCTCTGCCCTCATTGGGCCTGCCAATCATGGGGCTTCTCAGCATGCCTACAATGAGAAGGGTCTGAATGATTTTTAAAAGGTGGTCATACAGAGAACTAGGTTGAATTAATGATACCTAAGAATGTGTTTTCTCCCTGCGCCCAAATTAGGCTAATTGGTTCATGCTAAAGTGTCAAGCCGTTTTTTTAATGAATTGAACTAGAATTAATGACAGGAACTGCAGAATAAGAGCGTGTTACGAATAATCCTGTAGACACAGATGATAGCCTTTTTACGTATATGCCCATTGGAAGTCAGAATAAAGGTACAAAATAAATTATGCAGATTAGCATTATAGGTGTATGGAAAGTAAAATAGTCTTACCAGTTGCCACTCAATTTAATTTCATAATCCGTTTGGCGTATTAATTTAATTTTCAATGGATTTTTGTTAATGTCTCTTTCACTATAGGTTCAGTTCAGATAGCATGGCCTGAATAGATTACTCTCATGTAATATACATAATCAACAGTTATATTTCCGCTCTCAGATTTATTTTTATTTTTTTGCATTGAGTGGGTGTTCATTCATTGCACTTTGTTTCTAAATGGATTTGCGGAAATTGATTGATCTGTAAAACAGAGCTGATCATCAATGAATCATAACATCTTGGATGCCGGGATTCTCTTTCTTTTAACGACCACCGGGTTTACTATCAGACCCTTAAAAATATAATATTTTCTAAGAATGTAAATCGCCGACCATGACTGGGCATTCGTACTTTAGTAATCTGGTTTGCATCTATTCAGCAATCCCAGAATGATGCCAATGTGGTAGGAGTTAATGTCTGTTTCCACCTCTGTAACTGCCTGCCCGAGACTGTTCTGCTTAGATAAGTGAGCAAATTGAACCGCATTTCTAAAGAAGCCAGTAAGTATGTCTAATCCCATTTTAAAGAGCCCAGTGGGGGAGAGTTGGCTAATATCCACTCCAACCAGTCAGTCCCAAAGCCTGGAGATGCTGGTGCTCTCTGCTTGGCCCTGCAGATCTGGACCAGAGAGACCAAGAGAGGGAGGGAGGGAGGGAGACCATTGGAGAGCTGTCAGGGGTACAGTACTTGGGTGGGTGGGTGGGGGGTAACATGAGGAGGTGCCAATGATTAGTTAAGGGAAAAGTCTGTCCCGATGCCTCACAGTGAGGAACTGTAATTGGTTAGTTATAGCTGCAATAACACATCAAACAGATCCTAACACTCTCCCCTCACTGCTCTTGTGATACGCAGTAGACTCGCATGATCATATTGGAAATACAAGAATAGTGTCCATACATTTGTCAAATGATGTATCTCAGATTGCTTTATATTCTATTTACAAATACGCAATACAGTGTAGTAAGTACCAGTAATTGAGTAATGATGATTTCATAAAACGTATTCTGTATTCATGGCTGCATTAATGCAACCAAATCTACTGTGTGTCTGAAATGTTATTAAACAAAATGACCTCTGAATGTATCTCCACATCTTTGCACTATGCTTTCAGACATTAGGAATGAATACATCTGATCAGCATGCATAGTGCATTGAAGCACTGCATGGAAGTAAGCAGCTGCTTCAAATACATGCAGAGTAATAATATTTGAAGCTATAATGAGAATGTTCTATTCAGAGAAAGGGCAACTCAAATTTACAAGGTAAATATGTATCTTTCCTACACAGCCACCTTGTCACATTTGCTTCTTAGTGACAGAAAGAAAGAGAGAAAGAAAGAGAGGAGTGTTGATGATAATACAACCTGGTAACACATCTGTCTTAACAGAGCCACTACTCCCTGCATTAGTTTAACATAAACATGTTGAATTATTAATTAGATTTAGAAAATACACTGCTATTTGTGGGTCAATATATATGCAGTCGTATGAAAAATAAAATGTACCTTTCAAAACAGTGACTGTTAAAAAACAACAACATAATACACTTCACTCCACATATTTTACTGTAACATTTACCATGACTACCTGAGGCCTTTATTAAAATTCTAGCACCTCCTGAGAGTTGAGATTTACAACAGCCAAGTGCCCCAGCCCCGGCTTACATGACGTAGTATACCCAGTAGACTTAACGGTTTGCATTGAAAAGCTATCACTCTTTGGAAACCAGCATATTTCTGCTCTCTGCGTTAGCTAAGCATGGGGGTTTATTTATTCATGAGACGTCTGCCAGTCTAGAAATGAACAAAGTCTTTCCCCTGTTATTGTCATATCTCAAGGCTGAACGCTGAACTGTATCCAGGCTTTGGTTTCCTATCATGAGTCAAGTGTTGTTGGGTATGACACAGACAGAGCAGACGGAGTGATTTTCTCTCTACCAAACCATCTGAATGTATAATGTATTCAGCGAGACACAGTGCAGGAAATGAGTTTGGAAATGAGTTTGTCAAACTTGCTTTAGGTAAATCACTGCAAAAAGGTATCTTTATATCTGGTTTGAAAATGTACCAAAAGGAAATAACTGTCCAATCTAAAAAAGTGGTGCATTTATTCATCTGAAGTGACTGTGTTGACAATGAAGGAGGAACTCTAGTGTTTGTTTGTATACTGCTTAAGTTATATTTTGGTTTCATCTGACCATATGACATTCTCCCAATTCTCTTCTGGATCATCCAAATGCACTCTAGCAAACATCAGACGGGCCTGGACATGTACTGGCTTAAGCAGGGGGACACATCTGGCACTGCAGGATTTGAGTCCCTGGCGGCGTAGTGTGTTACTGATGGTAGGCTTTGTTACTTTGGTCCCAGCTCTCTGCAGGTCATTCACTAGGTCCCCCCGTGTGGTTCTGGGATTTTTGCTCACCGTTCTTGTGATCATTTTGACCCCACGGGGTGAGATCTTGCGTGGAGCCCCAGATCGACGGAGATTATCAG